GTCTTGCCAGGCTGGGATTACCCTGTGCTTTCTGTGAGGTGAAGGGGAGGGACTGGGGCCACCCCCAAGCTGGGCACTGGGGACATGGCTGGAGCACTGTGTGCCCAGGTAGCATGGGTGACTCCCACCACAGGGCTCAGGGTGGATGTGGCTGGGGGCCCTGGCTGTGACAAACCTACCCGTGTGCCACCTGCATCCCCAGCCCTGCTCCCCATAGGGAGCTTCCTTCCAGAGCTGCTTCCCAACTGAAGTAAGTGTAGAAAGAGCAAGGCAGGGTTTAAGCCTAATAGATCATCAGGGATTAAACCTGATTAATGGATTTGGAGCGGCTCTTTTATTGCTCACACTGATATAGGGACATGGGGCATGTTGCCACACCCTCAGGTGTGTGTGGGTTGAGTGCATCCCCCCGGTCCCCATCCCCTCCATGTCGGGGTCACTGCCAGAGCCCCTTTGCCTGGCTCAGGCTCTGGCTCTTGACTCTTCAGCACCATCAGAGCCCCCCACGCCCATGCTGTGCAGAGCTGCTTGGGTTCTAGGTCAGCTCTGCCAGTGGGGCAACAGCAGCCCTGAATGCTGGCAGAGGTTTCAGCTCTCACTCAGTCTGTTTGGCTCCAAAGTGACTTAAAATGCATTAATGTCACACATGGCAGCTCAGTCCTGTCCCTTTGTCACATGTCCTGTTGTCTAGGGACATTCTCTGAGCAAAGCCCAGTAGGTGACTGGCTTTGCACATTTCTCCCCAAAGTTGTTTTTTTTCTTGGTGGTGGGAATTTATTCTAAACATAGAATTATGGAATCACAGAATGGTTTGGCTTAAAGGAGACCTTAAGCTCATCTTGTTATACCCCTTTTCCTGAGGAGGGACACCTTCCACTATCCCAGGTTGCTCCAAGCCCTGTCCAGTCTGGCCTTGGACACTTCCAGGGATTCAGGGGCAGCCACAGCTGCTCTGGGCACCCTGTGCCAGGGCTTTCCCACCCTCACAGGGAAGAATGTATTCCATATATCTAACCTAAATTTCCCCTCTTCCAGTTTGAATCACCTGTATGTGCTGCTGCCAGGGCTGGCAGTGAGCAGTGCCATGTTCAGCCCTCTGTGCAGCCATGGGAGGTGGGCGTGGGAGCGCCTGCTGGCACGGGAGCAATGCCAGGCTCTGGACTTGCTGTGGCCACTGAGAGGAGCCTGATCTGTGCAGTTCTGTCAATGCCTTGGAAGTGTCCAAGGTCACGTTGGACAGGGCTTGGAGCAGCCTGGGACAGTGGAAGGTGTCCCTGCCCATGGCAAGGGGTTGTATGAGATGAGCTTTATGGTCCCTTCCAAACTTCTGTGATTTTAGTTTGGCAGTGCAGAGGCAGCTGCCAGTGGAGTGAGAGGATGCTGTACCAACCCCACTGTCACTGTCCTGCTTCAAAATCCCCCCAGAGAAGATGGGGTCGGAACGACCCTGGTGGGAGCTACCTGCAGGTTACCCTGTCCAGCTGCTGCTTCCCCAGAAAGCTGCCCCAGCATTCCTGAGACAAACCACATCAATTCCATCATCCCCACAGTGGGTGCCTGGGGCAGGAGTTCAGTGCAGAGCGGTGTTTTGGCAGGAACAGGGGCATGGGTGGAGGTTCCCACGGCTCCAGTGCGATTACAGCTGTCTCATGCTATCAACAGTGTTGTGGTTCTAAAAAATGAGCAGCTCCCTTAGGAGCTCCATGGCAGACTCCTGATGCCCTGGGCAATGTCCTGGTGACATCTGGCTTCCCTGTGCTGCTCCAAAACAAGTCAGAGGACACCCAGCAAGAACTGTGCCCCGTGCTGGGACCTGGCAGCACATCCTCAGCCCCAAGGGCTTGACTATGCATCCTCAGCATGGCAGCAATCCCCAATGGCCGCTGCAGGGGCTCATCCCCTGCCCTGTCCAGGTGAGGCTGGTGAATGCTGCTGGCTTCCAGGAACTGGTTTTCCTGCCACTTGGGCATGTAGGGAGCATTTTGGAGTGGGTTTGACTTGGTATCTGTGTGCCTGCACGTGGGTTTGTGGATGCACACGATACGTGTTTGTGGTACGCAGGAGGATCAGGGCAGGGATTTGCCTCCATTATTGGAAGTGATTATAGATGAACAGGGGCAGTGAGAAAAGCCCTGAGTAAATCGCTGGAAGTATCACACTCCAGTTTCGGCTGCCTTCCCGTGAGGATAAATGCAGAAACCTCTCTGGGGAAAGGCAGAGCCAAAGGACACCCTCTGTGCCATCATGCCAGGCTGAGTCTCTTGCTCCTGAGCAGTGCTGAGGGATGGCAGCAGCCACCCACCACCCCTGCATTCCTGTCCCTAGGGCTTTCCCCAGCTCCAGGGTTCCCCAGGTCCTCCCATCCCACACCCACAAGTTCATGCCACTGGAGGAGATCTGAGGCTTGCGTGGCCCAAACCCCTGGGGACTTGGACCCCCCTCAGGTCTGTGTGATGCGTAGGGAGTCTATTCTTTGGCCACCTGCTTGGGGCTCAGAGCCTGCTCTGTTCCATCTCTCAGCTGGTTAAAGCCACAAGGCTGACAGCGTTTCTCAGAGTGAACCAGCTGCCATGGTGGATGGGCTGGGGACTGGCCATGGTGAGCACCTGTGGCCAGGCACAGGCAAGGTTGTGTTTGATGAAGCACAGGGACTAGGAGGACACCACGTATTTATGGTTCCTGAAGTTGTCTTGAGCCTGCAACCTTGATGCCTTCTTCAAACAGAGAAATAAATCCATGTTTAGTTCAACTGCTTGTTTGGTATTTGGAGGAAAAGGAGTTGTTGCTCATTGTGCCTGTAACTGAGCAAACATGAGCATTGGTACTTGCAGGTCAGTGTTGTGTGATTACTCTCCTCTGGCGGGGTGGGAATGGATTTATTGTGTATCTGGTGACTGACAGGTAAAGGGGTGCAGGTGTTGAGCACTCTGCTGGAGTCATGGGAGGGTTTGGTCCTGTGGGTCCCTTGACACTTGGCATGGGGGAGGTTCAGCCCCTGTCCCAAGGTGCCTGGGCACTTCCCTCTCTGGCCCTGCTGTTCCTGGGTGACCCAGGCCCTTCTTCCCAGTGACTCCTGCTCAAGGCCTTTTTATCACTTTGTCTCACTTGTCTCCCCAGTTGTAGAGAAATCACCTATTTGCATTTCAGGAGAGAAGGTGGAGGTTTGGGGTATTGACAGGCATTTTATAAAGCAATTAAAACCCAACCCCTGTAATTGCTGTAATTTATATACACCTACAAAATAACCAGCTGGTGTGATCCAGGCTTCAAGCCCATTTTATTCGTTTCAGCACATCAAACAGATGGAAACATTCCATCTGTGTTTTCCTGGGATGCAGAGGGGTTAGCAGCGAGGGTCTGTGGGTGCACTGAGGGGCAGGGGAGCAGCAAAGGGCTGTGGAACCCTCACTGGCACCAGTATGGCACCTCCGATTGCCACAGAGGATGTGTGATGAAGGGATTGGTGCTCGGGGACAGGATTCGTCTGTGTTTGTGGATGAGAGGAATGAGACCATCCCCTAGAAAACTTGGGATGCTGCAAATGGGGTGTGGGCACTTGTGCTTCAAAGCTGTACCCTGGCCCCCCTCCCTGCCCTCCATCACAGCCTGGAAGATTAAAGCAGACTGGTGTGAGTTCAAAGCTGCAACCTCAGTGCAGCCACGCTGGTGATGAGGGAGGTAATTAGCAAGTGAAATGTTCGTTGCTGTAGTGAAATGGTGTTTATAATATTGGGTTATGAGGAGAGGAGGGTGGGAGCAGCTGGCTTTCCATTATCCATACAGCCCCACTCTGCAAACCCTTCTGACATAACCAAGGCTCTCTGGTTTTGATTCCATTTCTCCAGCCTGTTCCTGCATTTTGCCTTACTTGCCCTTGGCCAGCAATTTTCAGGGTTGCAAACAAGCTTGGGATATTTTAGGAGCCATTGGTTTTTCAGGAATGAGTGCTCTGCCTGTGCTCTGTGCCTGTAATTCAAGTTCTCCTGGCTCAGTAGCTCCCAATTACCCATGTGTACAGAGAGGGGCCATGTTTATGGGCCTGCTGGAGTCAGATGAAAGCCTCAGACTGCAGTTCCTACCTGCAGATGAATGAACCACCTCAGGGACCCTCTTCCAGCCCTGGAGTTTAAAATATTAATAGGATATCCTTTCCTGACAAGTGCTGCAACAGGTAGTGAGTGCTTTGTTATAAAGCGTTAGCAGAGCACGTGGAACTGGCAATGCTGTCTCTGAAATTGTTAACCCAGAAACTGTGTTCCCCCCATGGCCACGAGTGTCGATATCCCCTCAAATGGGCTCTTCATCCGTGCTTCACTGGATCCCCTCCTTCTCCCAGAACAGTGCAGCCTGTGGGCACCAAAGCAGCCCCTGCATCCCTGTCCTCTCAAGCTGTGATCTGCTGGCAGAGATCTGCTGGCCATGATTCACTGGTCAGGAGCTGCTGGCTGGGATCCACCAGCCGTGATCCACTGCTCATAGTCTTCTGGCCCAGATCCACTGGCTGTGATCTGGCTGAGATCTGCTCTAGTGAGCAAAGGGCAGCGTGGCTGGGGAATGAAAACCAGCTCAGTGCAGCTGAGCTCTCCCTGCCTGTGCCATTGTAGCTCCAGCTGAAGTGGCTGGCAGAGAAGACATCCCTCTCCCATGGCTTCTCAGGCTTTTGTTCATCTCCCTCACCCTGTGCAGAACAAAATTGATGATGAAAATAGTCAAAATTTGCTCTTCAAAGGGGTGGCAAAGGGTAGACACCCATGCTGTCCTCCCCACCTAGTGACACGCCAGGGTCACCGCGGTGCTGCGCTCGGTGTGTGGCACAGCCCGCTGGCATGGGCAGGAGCTGCCGAGGACCCCCAGAGTCTTTGCCCAAAGTTGTTCCAGTGCCCCTCCCTCAAGTAGTGTGCTTGGTGGCAGAGGTTCTCAGCTGCTGGCAGGGGACTGAGGACACTCCAGCTTTGCTGATCTCTGTATTTTTCCTCTTTCTCCCATTTCTGGACCTGCAGCAAACCCTGGAGACAAATCTCACCAACCTGGTTAAACGCAACAGCGAACTGGAAAACCAGATGGCCAAGCTGATACAGATCTGCCAGCAAGTGGAGGTGGGTGAGGGCCAGGGGGGGCTGGGGGAAGTGCCCGGGGCAGCTCCCAGCTCTAGGGAGTCAATGCACGGATCACCCCAGAGTCCTTTCCTGGGGCTCCCCTGGGAGCAGAGACAAGTGTGGGGAGTAGTCCCAAGCAGTGGAGAACTCAGGGATGGTTCCCAGGGGTCTGAAGGAGTTGTCATGACTGGGAGCCACTGAGAAGAGACATGGGCTGCTGAGCTGGCTCTAGGCAGGAGGACCTGCCCACTGCTTTGTGCTGGGGGCAGCAGCTGCTTTTGGTGGAAGACTGAGTGAAACTGAACATGAAAACAGGTCTCAGCCAGATGACACTGAGCCTGTAACAAGGCTCCTCAACTGGGTAACACTGAGCCTGCAAAGAGGTCTCGGCTGGATGACACCAAGCATGCAGCAATTCCTTGAACCACCAGCTTCCCATAGGACTAAACCCCAGGCAGCTGCCGGGATCGCAGCCATGGATTCAGGGGGAGTTCGCCAGTGCCTGAGGGAACACAGCAGTTGTTTACTGCACCCACAGCACCCCAGGCCTTGCAGGGCATGCAAGTCCTGTGCCTCCCCTGCACTCCCCCAAGCCATCCCATGGGCCCAGCAGGATGCAGGAATGCTGTGGTGGGATGTGGGGATGTTGCCTCAGGATGCTGCGAGTAAGATGGAGGGATGCTGTGGCAGAATGCAAGGATGCTGCAGCGGGATGCAGGGGTACTGCAGCAGGACAAGGGATCCTCCTGTGCAGGGTGGAGCCGTTTCCCCACAGCAAAGCATCTATGATGCATTTGCCTAGGGAGCTGCAGCTTGTCCTTCACCACCTGAATCTCAGAGCAGCCGGCGTCTGGGGCCATGAAGGTGCTTCAAGCCCTGTGGTTTCTGCAGGCAGCATCAGGGCTTTGTTCTTCACTCCCTCAATAATGTCCTGATGATCTGGCAAGAGGAAGTGAGCGCAGAAGCCCTTTTTGTGAGTGCCAGCAGGGCCGAGTGTGCCGCCAGCAGCTGGCAGCCGCTGTCACAATGTGCAAAGAGAAGGAGGAGGGCGCTGAGATGCTCTGAACTTCCAGCCAAAATAAGGAGCAGAAAAATCCCACTTCGCTCTGCAGCACCGCTGGCCTTCTGTGTCACAGGTTTGTCCTGCTTCTCTCTGCCTGGGCATTCAGTAGGAATGGCTTTGTTGGATTGGTCTCTCCTGGGCTTCCTCTTCCACAGGGCTCAGTGGGCTTGGACTGAGTCTGGGAATACAGATAGCATGGATGTTTGGCAGAGAGAGAAGGAGGCAGGATGACTTTGCAGAGCTCTGGTGACAGTCACCAGCCCTTGCTGCTCTGATGGGCCATGCTTTGGCTATGAGAACCCACCAGGGATGGAGCAGGGATGTGGCTGGATGTCCTTCCAAACCCATTCCTTTGAATCCAGCTCCGATGTCTTAATGACCTGACATAGGATAAATTGAAAGATATTTGGTATTTCTGTCTGATCCTCAGAGTCTGAGACCTCTAAGCTGTCACTTTTGACAGAGCTTGTGAGTTTTCAGCTTTGTCAGACACTCTGCTTAAAATAACAGTTCAAATAACATTTCTCAGCTATGTTGAATGCACAGCCAGGCCCTCAGAGGCCCCTTCGCAGAGAGCACAGTAAACTGTGAAGCAGAAAATATCTGTGCTCTCCATCAATCTGATTCCAGGGAATTTTGCTTCTGAGATATTTGCAGACATGACACACAGGCAGGCACATGCAATCCCCATGAACTCTGCTCCTCAGAAACATTCGGTGTAAGTCTCATGGCATGTCTAGAGAATGGTGCCACGAACACCTTGGGGGACAGGGGTTCACCCCAGAGAAAGGCATTGCAAGTGTCCTCAAGGCCCTGAGCCTGTGCTGCCCCTCAGAGTGACTCTGGTGCATGGGGCGGCTGTGCTGAGAGAGGCTGAAATGGCCAAATCCTGTGGCAGTGATGGAAATGTGGACCAAGGAGGGCAGAGAACAACCCTGCAGAGAAGCTGAGTTTGTAAAATAGGGATGGTACCAGCCCAATGTCCCATTGTGGGCAGAGCAGAAGCTGCAGGTGTGCCAGGGGACTGTGGCCTCTGTGTCACGGCAGCCTCAGTGTGAGCTTGGTGTCCCCAAGGCACGGCTGCTCCACAGCTAAAAACCTCTTGAGGACTGTGGAGGTGGGATGGGGTCCTCTGTCTGTCCTCGAGCTGCCAGGAGGAGGCTTGCCTGCGCATGAGTCAGGCTGTGGGCTGAGATGCTGCTTCTCATCCCCACGAGGGGCAGGACAGGCTTTTCCCAGAGCTGGTTTATTTCAGGACTGTTGTCCCTAGCACATTCGCCCCCCAGCACTGAGGTGAGTGAAATGTTTTTTCTCTCCCTTGTTATAACTAAAAGCTGCCCAGCTTTCCTGCAGCCATAGCACCTGCTGAGTATTCACCCCCAGAGCCAGCATTTACCTGGGAGCTGGCTCATCCATACAGTGGTTTGGCCAGTGTCCACGTGCTCTTGAGCCAGGGCTTTGCCAGTGGAGCAGTTCTGGTCTGCAGTACTCCCTCTGTGCTCTGCTGGCCCTTTGGGGGATCCCCAGCCTTGAAAATGTCCTGTTTTGAAGTAGAAGGCAACTGGGAAAGGGACTGTGGTGTCCTTTGCAGCTTTACCTGCCTTCAGCCCCCCAAACATCAGCATGGTTGAGGGGAGATTTCTTGCCCTGGGCAGGTTTTCAGATTTAGGCTGTGGATGGCTACAGATTTATGTTGTCCTGTAGCCATCCTGGAAGGGGAGCACTCTAGGCCTGAGCTGGACTGTTGGGCAGCAGCTGGCTGGAGGGGTGGACCCAGGGCCAAACTGAGGTGCCCCAATCTCCCCCCCTGTCCCTTGGCCCAACATTTCTTTCTTGCCCCTTGCTGTGCACAGCCTTCAGCCTCATATTCCCTCACCCTCATGTGTCCCAGAAGCTGAATGAGAGGGGGTGTCCAGGTTTGTGCTTCTGGGAAGTTGGGGTGACAGCCATCCCTGTGGTCACACAGCTTTGAGGGACCAGGGTGCTGCCAGATCTGCCACAACAGCTCTGCCACAGCAGCACAGCAGCTCTGCCACAGCAGCTTGCTGCAGGCTCCAAACCCTGGGGCTGTTCCCCACCCCCTGCCACATGCAGCAGATTGGGAAGATTTTCCACTGTTTTTCCTCAGTGGAGCTCTCTTTGCAGACCATCAGCTGTCTCCCACTCCAGTGTTGCATAATCTGCTGGCCAGGTTTAAAAAAAGATCCTGTAACAAAAATGTGGTTCACTCAAGGCTTCCTTGTTTCAGAGAGGTTTGGGAGTACAAAATGAGGAAAACTGATTTCTGTCCTGTAGTGTGCTTCAATGAAGTGCCAGGGCTTGATTCCTCTTCTATGAAGTGCATTCCCCCTTGTCCTGTCCTGTCCATCCTCCCATGGAAGGAGGACCATGGATACTGGTCTTCCCTGGAGGCAGAGGACTGGAACTTCTGCTTGTGCCCCAGTGCACTCTGTGTGTGCACCACTGTGAGCACAGCCATAACAGCGTGTTGTGTGTCCCTTCCAACACCTGTGGGTCATATGTCCCTCCTAAAATCTGTGTATTGTGTATCCCTCCCGACACCTGTGTGCTGCTGTTCCTGGCCAGGTGAACACAGCCATGCACGAGGCCAAGCTGATGGAGGAGTGTGATGAGCTGATGGAGATCATCCGCCAGCGCAAGCAGGTCATCGCTGTCAAGATCAAGGAGACAAAGGTGAGGGGTCCCAGCTCATGTGTCCTGGTCACAGGTCCCCTCCTGTGCCCACGGGGTGGCCACTGCAGGGTCTGCCTCTCTAGGAGCAGCACTCCTGCAGCCAGTGATGCTGCCATGTGCCAGCCTCGGGCAGAGGGGCTGCAGCAGCGTGTGTTGCCTTGCCATGAAGGGTTTGCTTTGAGCAGCACCGGTGCATCTCCTTGTCCACACTCCAGGTGTCCCCTGGTGCCTCCCTCCATGCTAGCCCATATCCAGGTGTCCGTCACTGCTGCTGCCCCAGGGCTCCTCTGCCAAGGACGAAGCATGTGCTGGCTGGAGGAGGAGCAGTGTGTTGGTTAGCGTGACAAGTCGGTGCAGAGGTTTGGATCACTCCAGACAGCTTCCTCAGGGCTCTTCATCACTGTGGTTCTAATAGAATAATGTGGAATTAATATTGAAGGGCCATAGTCCAGTGCTGCAGAGAGAGCAGAGGCTGCATGCTCTGCATTGCAGCACAGCTGAGAGGGAGCTGCTTCTCACCCTCATCTTTGTGGGACTGTTTGGACCTTTCCTCCAGTGGCTCCAGGTGTTTCCCGGTGGTTTCTATGTGTAGCATCCCACCCCAAAGGGGAAGGGACCCAAGATTCATAGGTACTCATGGTTGAAAGGAATGACAAATGGGTCAGGGTGCTGGGGGCACTGCCTGTGCTTATGTGGGGGACCTTTTTACAGGTAAGTTTTGCCTTTCCTGGGAGTTCTCACTTTCCCTGCAAATCAGTTCTCATGAACAGTCCATTCTTCCAGATGTTTCTGTAAATGGGTCATAGGCTTCAGGGGTCTTTCGTGGTCTTGATTCCCCTACATCCATGCCACTGCTTCACCTCACTCCTGTGTTGTGCTGTATTGTGCTTATCTCCAGGAGCCACAGCAAGGATGTTTCTCCCAGGACAGTGCTGCCCTACCTCCCTGGGGCCCCTTCTCCAGCCCCAACAACCTTCAGCTGGCTCTGCAGCTGTCCAGCTGTTGTTGTTTGAGACATCAGCCTCATCTTCTGGGCTCTCCACATGCAGCAGCGAGAGGGCTGCAGGGCTGTAGTTCTGAGGGTGCCCAGGGGAGCCTGCATGACACTGAGCTTGGGTGTGCACTGGGGTCCCACCATGGTACCCATGGCCAAGCCCCAAATACAGATGCTGCCCGGCAGTTTGGGAGCAGGTTCCACCACGTGTGTAGGCAGAAGAGCCACCGGCGCAGCTCCAGGACACCCTGGCAGCAGTGGGAGCTTTGAAATCCTGCTTCTACCCCAAGCACTCCAGGGAACAGATTTTATATAACAGTGCCGGTCCATCTGTCTGTCTGCTTGCTCTTCCCACCCTCTTCCTTGACTCTTCCAGGCTCTGCTGTCCAGTTCCAGCCATGCTTAGAAAGACCTGGAAGCTCCAAGATGTTGTTTTCCTACAATTGGCAGCTGGGTAGAGGCGAAGGGCACAGATTAGTGCCCAAACCGTCTGCAGAAGCAGTGGAGAAAGGAGTAACCTCTAGTGGCTGGTTTGGAGTGCTCCAGCTGAGGAGTGAGGAATTCTGTTTTCCTGATGGATTGCCATTTGGTTTTCCATTTGTTCTGCCCTGCTTTGCCTGCCAAATGGCCCAATGGATGTGTGGAGCCTGAGAGAAGGGAGAGGGAGAACATGCAGATTCCCTCATACCTTGGTCACCCAGCAGTTCAGTTCAGCACCTGTGAATGTGATATCTTCCATTAGCTCTGTAAACCCTTCCCCTGTTGCTGAGGTTCCCTTGCCCTGTGCTGAGTGACTGGCAGGAGTCTCATGACAGCCTGCTCTCCTCGGGCTGGCATGGGGGGACATTGCATTTGCACAGGAGGAGCGGAGAGAGGATGCATTGTTCTCCAGGGTCCATCACATAAGGACCCTCAGAGCAGATGCAGGTTGTGCCCTGGGGCTTTCCCACCCCCAGCAAAATTGAACATGGGAAGTGCTTTGCTGTGCTCCCTCCCCAAAGCCATTGGGACATTCCCGTGCCCTTTCACTGCTCCTTGCTCACCATGATCAGCTGCTGGCTCAGGCTTCCTTCCCTCTGTGCCTCTCAAGCTTCTGCTCCTCCCACAGGTGATGAAGCTGCGGAAGCTGGCCCAGCAGGTTGCCAACTGCCGGCAGTGCCTGGAGCGCTCCACAGTCCTCATCAACCAGGCCGAGCACATCCTGAAGGAGAATGACCACGCACGGTTCCTGCAGACTGCCAGGAATGTGGCCGAGAGGTGGGCTGGGCTCAGGACACTGCTGCTGGAGGTGGCCCCTGCTTGTAGGTCCCTGCCCAGAGATGACCCGAGTCCCCTCCAGTCACTTCCCTGGAGATCCCCAGCCATCCCTGCAGCCTCCCACTGTGCTGTCCTCAAATAAACCAGGTTCCCATCCCTCACAGGACAGGGGCTGCATGGCAGGTCCTAACAATTCTGTGGAAGCAAGCCCCCTTCCCTGAGGTAGGAAAGTAGTGGGAATGCCAGTCCAAAGGGAGTTCAGGGGCCAGTCAAAGCTGTAAACCCCAGGGATGGAGCCCCCCCACTCTCAGGGAACCTGTCCTCAGGTTAGGCCACCCTCCTGGGTGGGAGCAGTGGTCCATAGGTAGCTGTTTTCCTGACAGCAGGTGAGGCACAGGGAGGCTGTCTCCATCCCTGTGCCTCCCTCATGCACCCTGTTGCATACTGATGGTCCCTTCTTTCCTTCCAGGGTCGCCATGGCAACTGCATCCTCGCAAGTCCTGATACCAGATATCAATTTTAATGATGCCTTTGAAAACTTTGCTTTAGATTTTTCCAGAGAGAAGAAGCTGCTGGAGGGGCTGGATTATCTAACAGGTGAGTGCTCAGGTCTGCTCCACTGTGTATCTTGCCCTCAGTCCCCTGCCCTGTGCTCCCCAAGGGCTGGCAGACCTATTTTAGGACTTAACCAGTAACAAGCGCCAGGTCATCTGTGGCAGAGCAGGGCCTGTGCTGTACCCAGGACAGTGACGTGTCCCCATCCTCCTGTTTCACACTGCTGCTCCTGGAGGACCCATGGAAAAGACCAGAAAGCTTAAAAATTATGGTCTCCATGACCTGGTGGGGGAGGCTGATGCCCATAAGGATGCAAGAGGGATAAGGATTGTATGACGGTTCATAAGGATTACAGAGGAGGAATGATGAATTAACTAATTATTATTCTTCTAAGGCACTCTGTGCTTTAACATTTCTCTTTTCCTGCCCTTTTTCTGGGTCACCTGGTCCTAAATTACGAACCCTTGGACCTTGGGACCTCAGTGGGCCCCTCAGTGCTGCCCTGATGCCCCAGCACAGACTGATCGCTGCCCTCGGTGGTTTGGGAGCAGCAAGGGCTGCTGGATCAGCCTGTGCTGGAGCACTGGAGGGATGAGAGCTCCAGGGAGGCAAGGACGTCCTCACTCACCCAAATCCAATTTTATCATCATGAAGCAGATCAGCTTTCAGTGCAAGATTAGCACAAGCATGGCCAGATCAGTTATGGGATAAAATACTTACTCCACAACCAGGGCAGGGAAATAAGTGGATTTGGAAGCGGGTTTTCAGCCTGTTTCAGGGTGAGGGTGTCAGACCTGATGGAGAAGCAGTGAAAACCCTGTGCTCTGACCTCTGGATGCCTTGTGAAACTAAAAGGTTTAGTTCAGTGGGAAACACAATGACAGATTAAATGAGAGAGGTTTTGGTGTTGAGAGACTACTCCTGCCGCAAGCCCATCTCAGTCCTAACATGAGTGGAAAAGGCCTGGGTTTTTAAGGAAGGAAAGCCCAAACTGACCAAAGTCTGTGGTCTGTGCCATCCCACAGCACCGAACCCACCGTCAGTCCGTGAGGAGCTCTGCACGGCCTCCCATGACACCATCACTGTGCACTGGATGTCAGAGGACGAGTTCAGCGTCAGCTCCTATGAGCTCCAGTACACCATCTTCACTGGCCAGGCCAACTTCATCAGTAAGTCACCACACTCCCCCTCAGCAAGGAATCCCAACCAAAAGGTTGCCCAGACAACCTTTGGCTGCTCCATCCCTGGAAGAGTCCAAGGCCAGGCTGAAGCAACTGGGGACAGTGGAAGGTGTCCCTGCCCATGGCAGGGGGTGTCACTGGATGAGCTTTTAGGTCCTTTCCAACCCAAAGCATTCTGGGATTTTGTAAGGAAAAGGTTCTTAAGTTCATCAGTGTTTTTAAAGGCTGGGTATTTGTGGAGGAAACAGCAGCAAATGATCTACCAAGGGCTAGTGGATCAGGGCAATGGACACCTCCTCGTTGTGGGGGGCATCCCTGAGGTGCTCTGGTCTGCGCTTGGTGAAGCATCAGGAACATTGGAGGCTCCTGTCCATCTCACAGCTCCCAGATCCGTGGATGCGTGGGATTGTACGCAGGGCAGCGCTGGCTGCTCCGTGGCTGATAACTAAGGTGGTTTATAAACCCTCTGGGACAGCTCTGAGGCATATTTCCTGGTAATTTTTCATGAAAATTACTGCCATACCTAGTTTGTTTTTCCACAGCGCCACAGATTTGTCTCACAGGGATGGGATTTGATTTGAGGACTGAGGACAGAATCACTGATGGTCTGTGGCTTGTGAGAAAGTTTTGTTCTGGTTTTCCTAGCAGCACTTGCCATTGTGAGAAGTGCTGACGAGGTGCCTCAGAGCGGGTGTTTGGGCTGCTGTCAGTCTGTCCTGCTGGCTGGAAGGACATTGGCACCGGCAGCTTGGTGTCACGGCTCCGGAAGGCTGTTCAGTGCACTCTGAAATGTGCAGGAAGCTGCCAGGGAAAGTTTCCTGTGACTTTCCAAGCTGGATCTCACCTCCTCAGCCCTGGCCCAGCCTTTCCCCTTGTTTTGGAAAAGAAGATGATGCGTTTCCTTTCCACGGTGGCTGTCGAGTGCCGGTGCTGCTGCAGCCAGACCCGCCCTGCTTGGCTCTCCTCCCTTTCCCAGCTAGAGCACGTTGTCTCCAGCTCTTTGTCCTCTGGAAGCCTGGAGAGCTCAGCCACCTCTCTTGCTCTGCTCTTGAATGGCCACCAGGTCCATGTCCCCTGCACTTCCAGCTGTGGACAAGTTGGGGACTTGCTGGTGTCACCTCGTGGTTTTGGTAGGGAGGGATGTCTGAAGGGATGTGTGCTAGCTCTGGGCTCAGGGCTTGCTCCTTGAGGAAGAAGGACTGTTCAGGGATGGAGCATCCACTGCTTCCTCACCCTCAGCTAGGAGGATTTTGCCCTTTTCCACTCAGGATTTCCCCTGCTGCACCTTGTGCCCTGGCCCTGGGACGATGGCAGGGAAGGATCTGCTCTCACCTTTTCCCACGTGCCACTTTGGACACATGTGGCTTGGAGTTCCATACACCGAGGGAATTGGGAATGAGTCACCTGCCCACCTCTGGGGCCTGGCACAGGCATTGGGAAAGGAGGAACTGTGAGGAACAGTGACGGCAGTGCTGGAGGAGAGCCTAGAGGGTCACATGTCAGAAGTGTCCTCCTTGGCCAGCCAGCAACCTCCAGGTTGCTCTTTGTAGAACAAGTGAGGAAAACATCAGTTAATTCCCTGAGAAGAAAATCGATAACTTATTGTCCCTTGCAATAGCACAGTTTGGATCGTGGGACCGTGTGAACTCATGTGAAGAGACCCTGGAACACTGAGCAGGGGCTGGGAGCCTTACCAGGAAAGGAAATACCTTTCCAAGGTGTGCAGAGTTGGCCTGTGGAACCCATCCCCTTCACTCTTCCATCAAAGCCAAGAGTTTGGCAAGAGCCAGACATTTTTGTGGATGATGAATGCTGCAATAAAAGGGATTTTTTAAAGCTTTGGTGAGGGTAGGAGCGAGGAGGTTAGTCTTCAAGGCCAAGCTCTTTGAGGTTGTTTTGCAAAAGAAACCTACTTGGAAGGTCAAGTCCTTCTCGTTGTCATCTCTTAGCCACCTTGTTCTTCTAAAGGAGCATCCCCAGCTGGTCGTTCCTGCAGGAAGGTGACACCGACCAGGCCAGGCTGGAAGCTGTGTGCTCCAACGAGAGCAGCTCTGCATGCAGGCAGCAATCAGGATCGCATCTGTTGTATTTTCTACTTCACATTACACTCCTCTGTGCCCCTCAGCCATTCCCATGTGTATCCCAAACCAAATTCAGGATGACAGGGACTGCAGCCTGCCCTTGTCCTGCGGCTGAGCCAGCCACTGAAGATAAATGAATTGGAAGCCATTGCAAAAAAGGTGTGGAGCATTCCCAGCTCCTGCCTCCCAGCCCTGCACGTGTTGAAACCCCACCTCCAGTCACCCCAAATTCACAATGCACTCTTCACCTCTCACCAGATCTAGGAATTCCTGTTGTATTTTCTACTTCACATCACACTCCTCTGTGCCCCTCAGCCATTCCCATGTGTATCCCAAACCAAATTCAGGATGACAGGGACTGCAGCCTGCCCTTGTCCTGCGGCTGAGCCAGCCACTGAAGATAAATGAATTGGAAGCCATTGCAAAAAAGGTGTGGAGCATTCCCAGCTCCTGCCTCCCAGCCCTGCACGTGTTGAAACCCCACCTCCAGTCACCCCAAATTCACAATGCACTCTTCACCTCTCACCAGATCTAGGAAGCCTCCAGCTACTTCTTCCATGATTCCTTATTCCTTTTGGCTCAAAGCCCTACCCCTGTGCTGTGGTAGCTGCCCGGATTCCCCTGAGCCCCAGAGCTTTGTCCCCCACTTCAGCTACTCAGGTGCTCATGGCAGCTGCAGGTGATCCTCATCCCAGTCATGCCGATGGCAGGAACAGCCTGTGGCACTATGTAAGGCTTTTCCCCTTTCCTGGAGCGCTGTGTCACCCCACCTGAGGTACAGCACTACATTTCCACACATGCCAGGCCCTGTAGCTCTGGCACTGCAAATCACTGCAGCAGTCAGTTTGGCACCTCTACGGTCTTGGATTCTTCATTCCTTCCCATTTCCAGAAAGAGTTCCGCCTGCTGAATGATTTCCAAGTATCTGGATCCCTTCACTGGGAGCTTATTTTCTTTGAACCACTCTGCAGACCAGTCTATTCAGGGAGCCAAGCATCAGCCTCCCTTAGCCATGGATTATTACTTCCTGGAGCACTGCAGACTGGACAGGAGCACGCAAACACATCGATTTGGGTGCAGGTGCATCCCTTTCTGCTGCTGGAATTGCATACTGGGGCCCTTGAGCAGGAAGGAGGCTGTCCTGCGGGAGCGGAGACATGGGAGAGAGTGACGGTGGGGTGGTGGTGGGAGGATAGTGGCCATCACCCCCTCCCAGGCACCAGCAGCTTCCTCTGCCATCTGCCCTGGCTGGAGGGTGCTGCTGGCTGTATTTCCCTTTCTCTGCACCCTTTCCCCATCACTTCCCATGGCAGCATCCCAAAATGCCAGTGCTGCAACCCTGGTCCTGCCTTACCAACACTGCCTTTGTGTGATAATGGAAGAGATTCTGTGTTGCTGGGATTTATCATCTCTGGAAATTTCCGTGCTACTCTGAACTCCCAGGCAGGTGGTAAATCCTTCCGAGGGACACACGGGTCATGAGCTCTGCATTAGCAGCACAGAGGCTTTGTATTCTGTCCTTCCCTGGGAATAAATCTCTGTCCCTCTCCTGCACTGCAGGTCTCTACAACTCCATGGACAGCTGGATGATCGTCCCCAACATCAAGCAGAACCACTACACGGTGCACGGGCTGCAGAGTGGCACCCGCTACATCTTCCTGGTGAAGGCCATCAACCAGGCGGGCAGCCGGAACAGCGAGCCTGCCCGCCTCAAGACCAACAGTAGGTGCCCAGGCACTCAGCTGGCCGTGGCAGCTGGGGGAGGAGAGTTTCCAGGGCACCGGGGTGCCTGGGGTACGGCTGAGTGCCCCTGGTGAGCGGGCAGTGGCTGGCAGTGGGATGGAAACACTGTGTTGTTAGATCACTGGTGTGCCCATCTCCCTTGGTGCCTCTGTTCCTTCCCTACCTCAGGGAGGTTTCCTGATACCCCGTGTGGTGCCAGGGGCTCCCATCAGCCCTCTGCTCTGGTCAGCACGCATCCCTGGGGTCTTAGGTCGTAATGGTCCATTCTTCTGGTGGCTTTACATCCCTGGGCTTTCTGGGGCTGATGCGAGGAGTCACAGAGAACTGTGTTCTTGTGTGTGGCTTAGCTTGAAGAGGGTTGTGGTTTGGAAAGCCATAAGATTGAAAAGTGTCTCCATGGTGGTGGATGGGGCTTTGCAGCCACACACAAAGCAGAAGCTTTTTCTTTCCATATTCCTGGGGATGCCAGGGAAGGTTAAATGTGTTTAGGGAAAACTGAGCTCTGAGAGCAGTGGAGCTAGACCTGTGTGTTCTGGCACAGACAGAGCTCCAGGGTTTGTGATAGGAAACCTTTTTCCATTGAAAGACAGCAAAGACAGCAGAAGCAGTGGCACCCATGGCCTGAAGGGTGACACAGGAGAGACAGTGTGAGATGTTGGGGGAGGAATAAGTTGTCTCTCCAGGCTGTCTGCCCTGTGCTCGTGCCTTCCTAGTGCTTGCATGTCTCTCTGTGGTCCTCGTGAGCACAGCCCTCCCATCTGTCCCTCTCCCAACAGCTGCTTCTGCCTGAGCAAGGCTTTCATGGTGATTTATCACCTCTACCTCCTCCTTTTCTTTGCGCGACATTAAACTGAATAAAACAACATTGAGGCAGTGGGGCTGAGGGAGCTGCTGAAGAGCAAATTCCAACCCAATCTGCCTGTTCATTAAAAATTTATCCCTCCTGCAGTTGCTGTTTCTCAGTGCTTCAGTGGCTTTGAAAGGCGCTCGCTCTGGGAGTGAGGAATGGGTGGCTTGGGAAGCTGGTAGCAAGGGCGGATGGCCGTGGTGGCAGCTCCTGTTGAACAGGGTCTGGTCTCTGTGATTCCAGCTGAGTGCCAGTCACCAGAGCTGCCAGCAAGCTCTGATGGCTCCTGCTTGGGGATGGACTGGGTTCAATCAGAGTCCAGTCAGGTGTTGAGCTCCCCTTGCTGCAGGGATGTGTCTGCAGCAGCTTCTTGCATGTTGGAAACCTGGAGCAGCCCCACCTGAGACACTGCACAGGCTGTGTGTGATTGTGGGTGTGCTAGCACAGGCTATGTGTGATTGTGGGTGTGCTAAAGTCCCTTCCACAGGACTCGCTTCCTACTCAGATGTTGAGCAGGAGAGGCATGTGGCATTGATGGGCACATCCGTCTCTGCCACCAGTTTGGTGTTCCTCTGCCATCTGTGTTTATGGAAACTTCTGAATTCCTGAAAGGTTGATTTAGCCATATATATGGATACAATATATACTGATTTATTTCCTTCTGTGGCCAACCTCGGGACAAGGGCTCCTTTGGGTGTCCAGTGGTGCTGCAGCCCCAGCATGCCCCCACTGGCTTTTCCTCCTGCTGGTATTTGGGACCATGGTTTCTCCTTTTCCAGTGGACAATATCCAGAAGATATCACACCCATGCTTTCCTACTGCTGTAACCTTGGTGGAAGTGTCAGCAGCTCAGCACAGAAACGGCCTATTAACATATTTCACAGCCCGTTCTGTTCCTGAAGGGATGTCTGGAGTGATCTCTCCATCGCCAGAAGGTCAGTGTCAGGAGACATCGATTTCCTCAGCATCAGCGCTGTCAGTGCTGGCACTAAATCTGCATTCCTGAACAGAGCAGCTTGGGAGAACAGGTTTGGTTTAGTGTCAGAGAGACCATCTTCTGCTGAGGCTGGGCCTGAACAGGACTTATTTAGAAGCGAGTGTCCAAAAGTAGCTGGAAATGATGGAATGCAGGGACAGGCCCAGCTCTTGCCATAAATGAAGTGCAGGGAAATGGGTTTTACAGCCCTTGCCTTGGCCACTGCATCCTGGCCTTATTTTTCCTTGCAATTCTGGCTTTTCCTGATTTCTGCATATCTTGGCAAGACTTTAGTGTCCTACAGGATGGCTCCATCCACATCCCATGTGAGATGTCAGGAGTGGGTTTGATGCCTGAGCAATGGGCTGCAAGGTCACTATTACTGACTGAATCACGTTAGTGCAGGTGTTTTTATAGGCAGGATGATCCCTGCAGAAACTTCCCAGCAGGGAGTCTGTGAAAATTTAGATGGATTTATGGCTTTCCTATGACTTGATGACTCAGCAGTACAGTGCTGCACCTTTGTTTCTTTCTTTGCTGAGGGTGATGTCCTCAGGGAGGACAGGATGGTGCTGGCAGCTGTGCTCTGTGGGTGTCCTGTACCCCACATGTGGCATCTTGGATGGCTGGTGGGCGTAGGGACCCTGCCACTGCAGGCAGAGAGGAGAGACGGACTGCAGGAGGGCTGGCTTTGTGTTCCTGTGTCCCTGCAGCTTTCTTTGCTCTCTGGGCAGAACATGGTGGGCGCCTGCAGCATCCTTGGGTGCAGAGTTCATATCCATCCCTCCTTTCTCTCCACGCATTTTCGGCCAAATGCAGTCACCAGCTGTCCGCCCTCTCCACCCTGCGCTGTCCCTGTGCCCTTGCAGCCAGAGGAGTGGGGCACAGAGGAGCTGCTGTGCTGGCACCAGTGGCACCTCTGCACTGACCCCCGGTGGGCTGGGCTGCTGGTCCTGGATTTGGCTGAGCGTTGGATGTTGTCTCCTGCTCCTGGAGATCTCATTCCAGTCATTTCCATAGCTGTTATGTAAAGCAGCTGGCAGCCTGTTCTCGCTGTCCCTCCAGGTGGGTGACAGGATCGTCCCAAGCCAGTGAGCCCCTGCTCACTGTGATGGGTGCAGGAGCCCTGCAAGGTCCAGGGCAAGGGGGTGGGTGTCTGGGGTCCTGCAGGGTGGGGATGCAGCTCCAGCACACACCTCCCTCTGCCTGGCTCCATCCCCGCATTCCACTGACCTTGACCATGTTTCTGGCTGCCTCCTCTTTGCTCCCTCACACCCAGTGCCAGACAGGATTTCCTCTGCTCTGCTCGGGAAGGGAGGGCTAATCCAGCTGATAAATGCTCCAGGGGTGCAGCCTGCTGTGTCCAGCCCTGAAGGCAGCTGCTTCCCCACAGCTCCCAAGCCTCATGCAGGGATGACCAGCAAAAGGCTATCAGGAATATCCCAGCAAGCTGAATTTGTGGGATAAAGGTAATCTGAGTGACCATCCCAGGAGCTACACATTAATGATGAGAGGAAATGTTAATGATGAGAGGAATCATCGCAAGCCTCAGCTGTCTGCAGGGCAGGGCTGGAGGGCTGGAGAACAGTGGCTGGGGGGCACAGAGGCTGCTGATGGTGTGGGAGCAGGGCTACAGTCAGAACTCCCCTTCCTCTGGCAGCTCCCATGCTGAGGGGTTGAGGTTGGGAGTGTTATGACCTCTCTGAAGTCTATATTTTTTCCCAGTGCCAGAGTGATATTTTGGGAAGGGTAGCAGGTGCCTGGCTGTGTTCTCTGAAATACCCCCCGACCCCTCCAAGCCTGCCCATCACACTCACTGCCTGTGCATGGAGCTCAAGCACTTGCTCCAGGACATGCCAGCACAAACCAGTGATAAGGGCTGGGCTCCACTTCTTCACACTGACCTTAGCAAGGGGTTGCCTTTGGAAACAGAGCTGTGAGTGTCTCTCTCCTGATGGAGCCAAGTATTTTTATACCTCACTTCCTCAGAGCTTGTCTCTTTGCATTACTGCCAGGAAAAGATACGGCAGAAAGATCAGAGCAGCCAGAAGAAGGAGGGGGCAGGTCACTGCCAATTTGCAGCTTTACTTTCAGGCTTCTCAACTCAATTATTCAGCAAACTGGGCTCCAAGGAAAACCAGCACGAGCTACCATCAGGTTACAGAGCACAGCACAGATGAGCTCAGCTCTGCAGCTGCAATGCTCGCTGATGCTGCAGCTCTTTGCAGACATTCCCAGGTGTCTTGGGGTTCTCCTTGTGTGTTTCCTGGCTTTCCAGGGTTTTCTGGATGTTCTGGGGGTCCCCAGCCCAGACTCAGGACCCCATTGACGTGGTGGTGTCATTGTTTCTTCTTGCTGGGACTCTGTGTCTGCAGCCAAAAATGACAGTGTGAAGGAGGACACAGCTAGTCATGCCTCGAACTGGGTACCAAAACATGAGGGTGAAGATATTGGCAGAACTTGGGGTGTTCTAGTCAGCAGTCATTTGCTTTGTCCTGAGGCAGGTGAATCCCTATGGAAATGCTCTCTGGTCCCTGTGTGCAATTTACTGCATCTCGCATGAAAACACAGCAGCAAAACTCACCTGAACTCAGTTTGCTTCTTTGTAGCATCTTGGGGTTTTGTTTGCAAATCCAGGGATAGTCTGAGGACTTCCAGAGGGAAATCATGAACAAAAAAGGAGACTGGTTGGAGTTCTGGGACGTCACCCAGATCTGGTCTGGTTTTGGGGAAAACACCCAAGCAATCCACCATTCAATATGCAAAGCTGAGAACACGGGATGTGAAGAAGCCCCTTTCCTGCACCATGATGCTAATAACACAAATCCTAATCCATGTGTCTCCTCCCCACAGGTCAGCCATTCAAGCTGGACCCCAAGATGGCTCACAAGAAGCTGAAGATCTCCAATGACGGGCTGCAGATGGAGAAGGACGAGAGCTCCTTGAAGAAGAGCCACACGCCGGAGAGGTTCAGCGGGACAGGCTGCTACGGCGCGGCCGGCAACGTCTTCATCGACAGCGGCTGCCACTACTGGGAGGTGGTGGTGGGATCCTCCACCTGGTAAGGCACCACCTGTGTGAGGGGGGATACTTTCCCAGTCCAGCCTCTGCCAGAGATGCCCAGCCTGTGCCCTTTTACAGCAGATGGGCTCTGAAAGCACAGGGTGCTCTAGCCATCAGGGCGGGGCTTGGTGCTATGCCGAGCCTGGAGGATGCTGAGCACAGCTTCTCCTCTCCTGCAGGTATGCCATCGGTGTGGCTTACAAGTCAGCCCCCAAAAACGAGTGGATTGGGAAGAACTCCTCTTCTTGGGTCTTCTCCCGCTGCAACAACAACTTCGTTGTACGGCACAACAACAAGGAGATGCTGGTGGAGGTGCACCCGCAGATGAAGCGCCTCGGTGTCCTCCTGGACTATGACAACAACGCGCTCTCCTTCTACGACCCGGCCAACTCCCTCCACCTCCACACCTTCGAAGTCTCCTTCATCCTGCCAGTGTGTCCCACCTTCACCATCTGGAACAAATCCCTGATGATCCTCTCGGGGCTTCCTGCCCCAGATTTCATCGATTATCCCGAACAGCAGGAGTGTAACTGCCAGCCCCAGGAGTCCCCATACGTGTCAGGAATGAAAGCCTGTCACTAGGCTGCCCAGGCCTGCCCGTGCCCCGTGGCAGCACTGGCCATGCCGGTGGGTACAGCTGGCCAGAGCTGCCCACTGGCAGCTGTGCCAGAGAGCCACTGTGGCGCCTGAGCAGTCGAGCACCATCCATCTTACTTTAATGGAAAAAGTGGAAGAACCTCAAACCACAGCTGGAAATCAACTGCTGTTGGTGAGCTCCAGGGTGTGCAAGAGTGGCTGGAGCAGCTCTTTGGTGGTTGCTCCCATCTCTCCCCAAGAAGATTGTCACCTCGATGGCTCTGTCTTCCCTTGGGGGGCTGGAAAGGCCAGGGCAGGTTTCAGGGTGACCTGAGGTGCCATGGTGGTCAGGGAATGGCTCGTGCATACCATGAGGCGCAGGTTGGGACGAGAGGGATGGGCTCTGGACCCTGCTGACAGCTGGTGTAGGGACCCAGAGCACTGAGCAGCACTTTCCTGAGAGGACTTTCCGTGTGGCTGAGGCTCGGTAGCTTCCCTGGTGGGGTGGATTAAGGCTTGGAGCCCTTGGGCTCGGTGAGCACTGGCAGTGGTTGTGTGGTGGATGGTGGCCCTGTGGAGGGAGGGTGGTGGTCTGGGAGTGAAGATGGCACTGAGGGTGTTCCCAGTGGCTGTCTGTGCTGCAGATGGCATGCTCCTGATAATTTTCGAGGTCCTGCAGTGGAGAGCCACGGACCCCCAGCCCACCATCTCCTCTGAGAGCTTCCCAGTAACCGGGGAGGCCTGCATCCTTGAGAAGCTTTGGCCCCTGGGACAGAGACTGGCAGCTGCTCCTTCCCGACACAGGGTCTGGCCAGCAGTGCCCTGCTCCACATAGGTCTCCATTAGTGTCCTGTCTGGTGTCCCAGCAGCAAAAACTCAACTTCCTACTCCAAGCCCACAGTAGAGTCCTGCTCAAAGACTACCTCTATGCTCTGTGACCCAAAATCTCAATTTATGACACTGAATCTTGATTTCTGGTATGTTCTCCACCATGCCAGGGGATTGGACTGGGTGCATTTTAAAGATCCCTTCCATCCCAAACTATTCCATGATTCTGTGGTGGTGTGAGTGTGGAGCCATCCGTTTGCTCTGTGGCAAAGGACTGAGTCTATCCCAGAGTCTCAGAGTCCCTGGTTACTGGGAGCTCTTTGCCTGTCTCCAGTATTCCCAGTAGCCAGAAGCATCAAGTCCCCTGGCCAAGCTCCAGTCTCCAGATTTATTTAAGAGACCAGGAGGAGCTGGGCTGGCACACAATTCCTGTTGCCACCATGGGGGTCTGTGGCACAGTCTGGGGCCAGTGGGCATGTGAGTGGCTGGGACATTGGGGGGGCAAGGATTTCAGGCATTATGGTGGCCCAAGGCAGCTGGTGCTTGGGCTTTGCTCTGTGACATTTGAAACCCCTTTTCCTCCTCTAGATGTGGTGCCTCAGTGGGAGTGGGGACCAGTGAGCTGCGACCACCCAGTTCTACCAGCCTCTCCCTGTGGAGTTTGCTGATAGGGAACTACCCCTGCTTGTATTTCCTTCTGCAACAGGGTTACCCACCTGATCAATCCAGGGAAACCATGAGATGGAATCTTTTTGGACTTTAGCAGGATTTAGCAATCCCTCACGGGATCCTTCTGGACAGCAGGATAAACACATGGGGTGGGTGAGCAGCTGGCTCGTGAGTCAGGCACAAAGGGTGACATCAGGGTGGCACTAGTCACTTGTGGGGTTCTGAAGGGCTCCATCCTCGGCCCTGTGTTCTTCAACATCTGCATTAACAACCTGGATGCAGGACTGGAAGGGATATTAAGTCAGTTTGCTGGCAGCACTAAGCTGGGAGGAGCTGTCAACCCTCTCAAGGGCAGAGAGGCCCTGCAGAGAGACCCGGACAAATTGGACAGATGGGGAATCACCAACCATGAGAAGTTTAACAGGGGAAGGTGGTAGATTCTGTGCCTGGGATGGGGCAACCCTGATGTTATGAACTGGGGAAAGAGAGGCTGTGGAGCAGCTGTGAAAGGGCCCTGGGGTACCGGTCCATGGCCAGTTGGATCTCAGTCAGCCAGCAGGGAAATCCCTGCTCTGGGGGCATCAGGCCACCTGGGCCAGGGAGGGGATTGTCATGCTCTGCTCTGGGCTGAGGCAGCCTTACCTTGAGCCCTGAGGGCTGTTTTGCACGCCACAATATAAAAAGACATGAAGCTATTAGAGAGTGAACAAAGAAGGGCTGTGAGGATGGAGAAGGGTCTGGAGGGGCCTTGTGAGGAGTGGCTGAGGTCAGTTGGTTTGTTCAGCTGGAGAAGAAGAGAGGGGAGGCCTCTTTGTCACCTTCAGCTCCTCCCAAGGGGGAGTGGAAGGGCAGGCACCCATCTCTTCATTCTTGTGACCGGTGACAGGACTGAAGGAAACGGCTGGAGCTGAGTCGGGGCAGGATTAGGTTGGATGTCAGGAAAAGGTTTTTCACTCAGGGGATGGTCAGGCATTGAACAGGCTCCCCAGGGAATGGTCACGGCCCCAAGGCCGCCAGAGGTCAAGGGGCATTTCAACAATGCTCCCAAACACAGGGTGGGTTTGTTGGGGTATCCTGTGATGCTAAAACCCAGGCTCTGGGAGTGCGTGGCTTGGACAGGGCTCTTAGGGCTCATCCCATGGGGGCTGTGCCAGAGACAGGTTGAATTCATCTGGAGCCAGTTCAGAACTCATCTGGTGAGCCCTGCCAGTGACCTGGCCAAGGAGATGTATGTTTGGTGAGTCTGGCGGTGGCAGCTTTGCCCAGGAGGAGAGTGTTCCCCAGCATGCCATCTCTCTGGGTTGTGCTTTTTGGAAAAGGGGGGTGGGCAGCACCTTGGGGAAGGATCTGCTGCCGGCCCTACCAAGCTGAGAGGGGTTTTCCTCTGCTCCAGGCTGCTTGCCCCTGGTGCCTGAAAGGGCAAGCACAGGGAATACACCCCTCCTTCTGACTCCTCCTGAGCAGAGGAGCAGCTCTGTTTGCTTCTTCCAGCCCCGGAGCGTAGGAGCTCAGGGAGGGTGCAGCCTGCCGTCCCCACAGCCTGGCTCATGGCCTCGTTTCACTTTGGGAAGCTAAATCACCCTTTAAGTTGGATGTTTTTCGTGGGAAAACATCTGCCGGTCCCATGGGATGCCAGACACTGGAGGTGGATATTGGCCCTGGCAGTGCCGAGGATGGGGCCTGCGCTGCTGGGATGGGCTCAGGGAGCATTCAGCATCCTCAGCTCAGAGACCATGAGCCCTTAACATGACATTTGCACCTGATGAAATTACACTAATTTCATGCCAGGACCTGCTGTCTCATACCCAGCCAGATGGGGACTGGGGAGCCCCACACCCCGAGCAGGGGCTGGGCGTCCTTCCCAGTCACCCACATTGTCCTCTTGTGGTGCTGAAAGCAGAGCCCATCCAGTCGTCACCGTGATTTGGGGATCGGCAGCCCCGTCCCTGGGCCCTGCTGAGGACATGGAAGGGGACCAGAGTGCTGCTGCTGGTTCCTCTGCACTCTGACACCAGCGCTCAAGTTCGGGATGTGTGGACTCTGGCTCCCCTCAGCCTCCCCTTCCACGTGTAACATTCCTGCTTCCATTTTACTTGGGGGGAGGGCTGTTCTTCCTGTTGGGTTGTTCCCTTTTTGTTGGTTTTTTTGCAACTTCTTTGTTAACATGTGTGTATATATATATATATATATATATATATATAATATAATATAATATATATATGTTACTGGGTATGTCTCTGTGTGAGGGAGGCCATAAGGTGAGGGCATCTCTGGGATATTCTTGCTGGCCATCACAGTGTTCCCCAAACCTGGCAAAACATATGGCTGTGCATCCACAGGAGCAGAGGGATTTGTGGTACCATCCAGCAGCAGCTTTCCTTGTGCTGGGCTCAGCCCAGCCTGGAGAGCCTATGGGGTGGCCAGGCACAGGGGACGCTAAAGCTCCATCCAAAAACATCTGTACACAGAAATATTGAGCACCCTGCTGCCAGCCCCTGGATGATGTCCCATTGCCCAGGACACTGAGTGTGCCAGCTTGCCTATATAATACACCCAAGATAGCTCAGCTACTTTTGGGGGCATAAAATAAGCAGGATGGCTTCTGCTGCAGTGCTGGAAACAAAAAGATTTAATAAAAGGTAAAATAACAAACAGAAAAACCCGAGCTAGGTGCAGAGATCTGCTCCTGGTAAAAACACCTCACAAAAGCCCTCAGTTCCTTTGTTCTCTTCTTTTGCTACCCAATTGGTCAGGTGGGACTTTTTGGCTTCTATCCAGTTAGTTGCCCTTAAGTTTGAGGTGAAGTCCCGGAGGTCCTATGAGGTGGCTTTTTACCCTAATCAATGAGAGAAACTTCTGGGCTTCTTTCCTTTTTTGGGGAACAAAGGATAGTTTTGTCACTCTGTCAACCGGGGGCACACTCCTACACATATCCAGCCATGTCCTGGTGCTCTTGCCCCAGCCGTGGCCTGGAGGGGGTGGGGATGGAGCTGGTGGTGGGGCTGAGCGCTGGCTGTGACCGCTCCTGCACAGAGCCCTGCCGTGCACAGGGACTGGCAGCGAGCAGGGAGCAGCCCGGAGGTTCCCCTCTCCCGGCCCTGGCTGCACATCCCTGGGCTCTCCAGGGGCCCCACCAGGCAGGACTGGCCCAGGGAGTGGGGAGAGCCCATGCTGGAGTGGTGCCACTGGGCAGAAGCTGCTGGAGAAGGCGCACTGGGGGCAGCCCCATGGTGGGGAGCGCAGGCACACAAACCCGCAGAAGACAGAGCCCATTTTTGGAGCACAAATGCCTAAAATATTTAAGTGGAAAGCAGGGTGCAAACCAACACTGTGGAATTAAATATTTCTTACTTTATGCCTTTGCTCCAAGCTTTTCCTGTTAAAGATAAACCACCAGCACATGGAACCTGCCTGGAGGATGAGTTGTTTCGCTAGGAACAAACCTGTGGCATTTGCGTTGGTCAGAGCTGCGCCCTTGCTGTGGGCTGTCAGTGACATGCAGCAGTGATGAGTGGGTCTGGTGCTGTGCTCCTGCTTCTGCCACAAAGACCCCACTGCCCAGAGCCCCACACTGAGCAGTGGGGAGCTGCAGTGCCCAGGGCCCACAGCCTCCATTTCCAGACATTTTATTCCCTGGTCCAGAGACCAGCAGGGTAGCCCCAGACCACTGCAGCTTGCCAGGGAGTTGTCCCAACCCCATCGCCTTCCTCCGTCCCATCCCTCTGCTCCAGCCTGGTTTGCTGCATGTCCTGGGACAAGTGTGTGGGGTCTGGCAGGGATCTGCAGGTGCTCCTGAGCTCTGGCCACTAGGCAAACAGATCCTGACAGTTTCCAAAAGCCAGAGGTGCCCCAACCCATGGCAGGAGGGACCTGGAGCCCTGCTGCCCAGCCTGCCCAGAGCCCAGTGAACAGCCAGCGAGCAGCAAGGACACAACAAGCAAAAATCTGGTTATTCCCAGATACAAGGGGACACAGATCGTCTCCTTTTACCGTGGAACAGTCATCCCTGGGAGAGGACTGCTCCCCTCTCCATGGGATTGACACAGTGTGGGAACCTTCTTTTCTTTTAAACTGAAAAATAAAACCTTCCAAAGGAGAAACATTCCCTGAATGGCCACAAATGGGCACTGGAACAGCAGAGTCTCGGTGTGGAGAGGTGAGGCACTGCTGGGCTCTGCTGTCAGCCCACCCCGAAACTGCCGTGAGAACACCCCCGTGCAGCCATCGGTCCCGGGTGAGCCTCGGGCCCTGCGGGGGTTCATCGGGGGCTTATCCTGGCTGTCACAGCAGCTCAACAGCCTGGACCGTCTGCTCAGTGCATCCAGAGCTTCCAGAAAGGCAGGAATTCTCTGCGTGGATGTGTCTGACACTCTGCTCCCCCGTGCTTCTGGCAGGATTCCTGCCTCGCTGGCTCGGGCTGGGCGTGGGCGTTGCTGCGGATCACCAGGATGGATGTTAGCCCAGTGCCTGGAGAGCTGGCGGAATGGGAGGTGCTGGGAAGGGCACACCTTGGCAAAGCAGGGTCCCAGGGGTGCCAGGACTCACACTCGCCCCATCCCTCCTCCCTCCACCCCGATGGAGTGAGAGGAAGCTCTGGAGATTGCTTCATTGTCCGTAGAACCACCATGTTAGATGGGGAAATGAGTCCTGGGAGGGGAGGAGGCATTTTCCTTGAAGCTTTCCATAGGAGCACTTCATTATCCCTGAAACCCGTGGGTTTCATTAACTAGGAACCCATCTCCAGGATAAACCACAGCCCAAGGCAAGGCCCAAAGGGATGAGGAGCACTGGGACAGCAGAGCCGGGAGCTTGTCCCTGCTGGGGCTGCTCAGGCTGGCTCGGCTCAGAGCCCACTTGGTGCCAGCCTGAGGAATGGGCATGACTGGGGGGTGCTGGGCAAGGGAAGAGCAGATGGCAATGGGTCGGCCTGTACTGGGGTGGCGCCGGGGAAGAAATGTGGCAGTGTCACCTCTGTGTCCTCTGGCCACAACTCCCTGAGAGCCATCCCCACCGTGGGACTGCTCCCGTGTTCCCTCCAGCCAGTGCCAAACACTGCTCCAGCTCTCACGAGTGCTGGTGATGGTCCAGGGTTCTCTGTCACAGCTCCTGGAAACCAGGGGAAGCTGGTTAAGGGATGCCATCCCTGGTCACCTCTTTACCCTAAACAGCCAGTGTCAGCATGAGCCCAGGAAGGAGCTCTTCCCTTTCTCTTCCTGCTTTATCTGATGCCTTTCTCTGTCAGCCTCGGGTTTCTAGGAAACGGCATCCCTCGTTGTGAAAGCCAATTTAAAACCATCACTCACATGGCAGGTTGTTTCACAGAAAGGAAAAGGCTGTTCTGAGATGATGGAATGAGCTTTGCTGCTGCTTTCCAGGAATGTACTTTAGACACAAGAGGTTTCAGCATCGCAAATACTGAAAATCAAACCAGAAATGCATTCCACAAGTCAACTAGGAGGGGAAAAAACAGAGTGTGGCATGAGCTTGGGAAGGCTAATGGCAGGTTTTGGGGGACTGACTGGAAGGTTGTTGTTGGCCTTTTACTTTTCATTTCTTCTGTAGGTCATTAAATAGGAAATTTTAAAAATCCCTCCCCTGAGAAGCTTAAAACCACACTGCCTGGGAGCCCTGGGGTTTCCCCCCTGCTCTGGGAAGCTGCAAAAGTGAAGAGATAAGAAAAATCACTGGGTTTATATAGTGAGTGACATCAAGATATCTCATCTGTCCTGTCTGCAACAGCAATGGCTTGCACTGGGGTGGGATAATCCTCACTGGGAATACATGCTACAGTTCTCCCATCCAGGAATGAAAATCCCTTTACCTGGTGATTTCACTCCAGGCTGGGAAAAAAAACCCCAATAGTTAAATAAATGGACAGAAAAGAAAATGACACCCTGACCTTTTCACAGACTGCACAAGGTGAACGAATTAGAGTCTGGGCTGGCCCAAATTAATCCTTAACGGAACGTGAGATTTTAAATACTCATCTCAATAACCACCCCCTAAAACTGAGTGTTCCTGATCGTTAGACTGAGCATAGCTTAATATTCTTGGTCTGGCTATGGAGTGATGGACAACACCTGGAATGAGACCAGAAGCCTTTATTGAATAATTCTGGGATTTAAGACATGTGAAAGGGAGGGAGAGAGGCAGGAGAGAGGTGGTGAGGACATCAGTGCTTGTGTGTCAGACTAAAAATGGCTGCAGGGGGAGCCTCAGGAATTCTCCTGATCTGCAGGAACCCATCTTGAGTTGCAGGAACTGTCCTAAGCTCCAGAAGCCAGTCCTGAGTTGCAGGAACTGTCCTGGCCCCTCTCCTGAGAAAATCCCATCCAGGCTCACCACTGCATCCTCCAGGCTTCGGAGCCAGGCAGGAGCAACACAGGGACTGTTAATGGAATTGAGTCCAGTTCTCCATGGCAACGAGCAAGAACTGGGTCAGTGCAGGATGCGAGGAGCCAAGCACTCCCAGGAGTTTTAAAAGTAAACACCAGCAGAAATTAAGGCACAAGGAACTGGGAGGGACAAGAGTGCCCTGGGACTCCTAGAGCTGAAGTAGAGCCCCATCACCCCACGTCACAGAGCAGTGGGCTCCCAGTCCTGCCCAGGGAGGGGGGCACAGGAAGGCTCCCATGGGTACCTCTGCACCACACAGTGGATCCAGGGCTGCACAGAGCAGAGGCTGCCTCATCCCCGAGGCACACACAGCCCTCCACAGCTACAGTGAGCAACTGAGCCTCAAAAATTCCCTCAGCCACAGCCTCCCTGCCCCCTATTCCCCACCACTTTGAGCCAAATGCCTTCTCTCCACGTGGCCCTTGCTCTCCTCCCTCCCTGGCTCTAATTTGTCCCTGTTTATTTACACAGGCAAGCAGGCTGACATCCATCATTGGGATTCTCTGTGCAGAGGCTGTCTGTGTGAAAATCCTCATTACAGCTCCTCGCTGACAGGAGCTGTGCTGGGCTCACTGCCTTTGATCAGCCGGATGCTGGGATGAGCCTGGCTCTGTGTGCTGCAGCCGCTGCCTTTGCTCCGCACTCAGCAGCCGCCTGGCACAGACCCCCCGTGCCCCTGCCAGTGCCCAGGTGCCTCTGCCACCACAGCCTGCCAGTGATTACCTGAGGGACGGGGCCAGTGCTGAGCTGTCAGGGCAGCAGCGATGGGGAAGTGGTTTGAGGGGCTGCAGGGCAGAGCAGGAAGAACTGGATGGAACTG